GTTTTTTGTATTGACGTTATTTATTAACTTGTAGTTATAAAATGAATAATGCGCTTCTGTAAATAATGAATGAAACTGTAAAATAATGGAAAAAGAAAAACTGGAAAATAATGCACTTTTGTTCAGCGTATTATTCAGACCAGTATTTGGAACTGAAAATTACCTGAAACTTAACTGAAATTAAAATAAAATTATATGTAATACGAACATTTTAAAGAAACTTGAATTAAATTTATCAAATCTTTTTTTACTTTGGAAATTTTATCATAAAAAAAAATTGTAAAACAGAGCATTTTAAAATTAAAAAATTTTAAAATGCTCTGTTTTAAAATTAAATAAAAGAATTTTACTTAAATTTAATAAATTTATTTACTAAAAACTATGATTAATAAAAAAATATTTAAATTTAATAAAACAAATTGAAATTATTTTTTTTTTTTTTATAACTTGAATGTTTTTAAACTTATGAAATATAAAACTTAATATTAACTATGATAAAAAGTTTAAACTTAAAACACTTATTTTTTTTAAACTAATTTTTAACAACAACAACAAAAATAATTAAAGAAATTTTTCTTTAACAAAAAATCTATTAGTTTACAATTGCGGTTAAATGCTTTTACTGACAACTTTATTTTCTTCTGACTAAACATCACATAAAACAATATCAAATGATAATTTAAATATTCTAAAAGATTAAAGTTTTGGCGTAACGCAAAACTGCTGAACTGAAAAACAGCTGCAAAATATTGGGGATTTAATTGCTCTCTATAAGATATCTTCCTAATTTTTATAGAAATTCGTTATAAAAGGGAAAAGGAAGTAATTATTACTAAAATTTTGAGTAATAAAATATTTTTAATATCTTTACAAATGTAAAGATATAAATAACGTTATTATTCAAAATTTGAGTAAAAATATGTTTAAAAAAATTACCGGGATTCCCAGGAAAATTCATTGAAATCCTCTGATAACGGAATGGATTTTTACTTCCGGGATCCTGGAAAAACAGGATCCCGTTTGAGTAGCGGGATTCCCTATTAGAAACCACTTTTGAGAACCATTTTTCTTGTTTCCCATTTGTAAATGAAGTATTAACTTGTTTCAAGATATTCAATCAATATTTTCAGATAGATATAGTAATAAAAAAAAATTATTTTTATTATTATATCTATCTTTTTCTAACTTTTTATTTTTATTATCTATGTCATTAATTTAAGATTTGTTTAAAAATGCATATTCTACCTAAAGGTTAATGCTTTCAAAAAAAAATTATTTTTAATGGCACTAATTCCAATCTTATTGCCTATAATATTGAAACTTATCTGAGCTTGGAAGTGAGAAAAAATAAAGGTGCTGGAACAAAATTTAATAGCAAATTCCTATTTTTGTGTTTCTTTATTAGATTGTCATAGATGTAAACTAATAATGCAATATTTCTATTTTATATTGCATATTTTATATTGCTTATATTATATTGCATTATATAAATAGTATATTTTATAGCATATTCTTTAATTTAATTTCTTTTTATGTAATAAAACTTATTTATTTAATAAAATATATAATTTATTATGTCTCTTATATTGAATGCTAAAATTATTATTTTACTTCTTACAAGCTTTATTTTACAAGCTATTTTCTATAGAAATCCCAATGAAATCTCAAGAAAGAGCACAGCTTTAAAACTCAGTTTTGGTTCTGTGGCCCATTACATTGGCAGTAATAGTTAATGAACCTTCATTGTTAAAGTTCTCCCTAGTTATAGTTCTCCACTCCATAAGGTCAATTCATATGGTGTACTTGAAAAAGTTTTTGAAATTATTTAACTATTTCTAACTGCAGAAATAAAGTCATTCTTAAAAGCCGACACTTTTCTTCATTGCTAGTAACCTCTGGGAGACTACACGACTCTTCATTGCTAGTAACTTCTGGGGGACTACAAGATTCTTCATTGCTAGTAACTTCTGGGGGACTACAAGATTCTTTAGTCCTGTAGTGCTTTTCAGTTATATTTATAATCTCCCTGACAACTTTACATCAAAACGCCACTAATTGCTGATGACACAACTATACACTCCAGACTTGACATTCTAGACTCTACAAAAATCCATCACTTTATGATTGCTTAGAACAGCCAATCTTGAATTTGATTTCAATTCTTAGGGATTACATTGACTTGTGAATTTTAACTGTTACACAATTCAGTTACTACAAACAATTGTTGCAATATTGTTGATATTCCTAAATCAGCCCCTGGAATTAGGGTGGGCATTCGACAAAGCCAACCTAACTGTCAACTTAAAAGTGTTTAAGGTCTGCAAAAAATCGCTGACCTTGTTTCTATGTTTTACGGTAAGTTCTTTGTGTCAATTTTTTTTGCTAATCAGATGCCAACCTCTAACACTTTAAGGTCCGCAATTTATTGCTAACCTCATTTTTCCTCAATTCTCAGGTCTTACTATATTAATGAATGACAACATTCCTAATGAGCCTTCATACTTTACATCGTTTACTACTGATCTCTATTAAGTGACTAAGTTCCAGCCCAGAAAAATTATAAGATTTAGCAGAGATTGATAGGACAAATGACAGCAGATAGTTTAATAAATTGACAGATATTATTATTGAGTAAATATTCCTCATAGTTGATGTTTAGAGTAACCCCAAAATATTTTTTTCAAAAAAAAAAGTCACCCCACTCCATGGTTACACAATTATTCAAAACAATATAAACAATATTCTTCCCACCTATATAAAAAAGTCAACTAACTCATCATTTTAATATAAAGTCGCCATATTTTATAGAAACTTTACAAGTTCTTGTAGAGCATTGCAAAACATAAATCCATCTAGGTAACATATTGTAATATTACCATATTTTGGGTTTACATCCACTATGTAAACCCAAAATATCCAAAAAACCCAAAACATTTACTATCCATTAATTCAACATAATCAACAAGATAATTGAAATATGATACTTTCATATTGTCCTGGAAACTCTATTTTCCAGCAATGAATTTTATTATTTTTAATGCTTTTTTTTTCTTTCAGTTATCAAACATAAAAGCTACAGAACCTTGTAGCTTTAATGCTTGATAACTCGGTAGTTTTTATGTTTGATGTTAAAATAAAATTTTACCTATATTATATATGAAAGACCTTTTTTTAAAAAATATTACAGCATTTACAGCAGTCCGCCTGGGACAAACTGTCCCGGTAGCCTCCCCCTCCATCCTTTCGGCAGCCCTGTATATTAGTAAATTACTGATATATATATTGATATCTATATAAGGTATAATAATTTTCATTTACCAAAAATTTTTATTTACGGGTAAATAAAAAGTCAGTAAAAAAAGAAGATGCATGAGAGAGGCTTATTGGACAACAACTTGAAAAAGTACACAAATTTTGTTTATGCATTCAGACTTGGTCGGAAAGCGGGAGCAATCGCTCTCGAATACTGACCACGGAAATTATATTTAGTTGGGTAAAACTGGCCAGGTTTTTTAGTCGTTTTGAGAACATTTAAGTTAATGTACGAAACAAAAAATTTTTGTTTTACGGACATACATGGAAACATAAAACACTTGAATGTTCTCAAAACATCTTTGTGAGAAAGAATAAAAAGAATATTTGCAAACACTAAATACCCACCAAACTAACGAACAAACTAATTTTATTAGTTCAAAAAATACGCTGATCAAGTGAAATAAAGTTCGAGAGTATTCTGGTAAAATGTTATAGAAATTGTATTATTCACGATTTGTTACGTTATCAGATTTTTAGCATAAATCGTTTTAAGAATATATATTAATTGTTTACAATTGTTACAAAAATAAATGTTTTAAATATATATTGATTAAATTGTTAAAATTTTAAAAGTTTATTATAAATCATAGATTTTATTAGTATATTCTTATTTTTTATTTTAAAAGAGATTGTATTCTTTATGTAAATGTAATTTTGTGAATTTGTTTTTTTATCGTAATGTACCTTTTAAAGCAATTTTTATGATTTAAATAAAGACTTACAAAAATAATTGCGTTTTCAATGAAGTTATAATCGTTAAAGTTAATAAAACTAATTATGTAACAAACATATAAGAAGTTTCTGGTTACTAAACACAAACAACGCATACATTTTCGCTTAAGTTGCCATTTTTAAAACTCGTTATACTTTTTTCTGCTTTAAATACTAATTAAAATTAAAAAACCCACTCACTAAACATCATCAGCGATATTGTGAAGCAGTTTTGCTTCCTGGTCATTAAGTATTTTTAACCTTTTTAGTTGATTTCTATCTTGGTAATTTAATTCCTATAGTAATTCAATGATTTAATTATTTTATTTGTTTATCTTACTAAGAAGAATCACTTCAAATATGTTAAACTTTTCAAACTACGCGAAACATAAAACAGGTATTAAAAATATTAACTTTTTTATTTATAAAATAAATTAAGCTTAAGTAAAACTAAAACTTGCAAACTTAGTAAATAAACTTAAACTTTATAAATAAAGAATATTTGTTTCCCTTTTAAACAATCGTAAGTTGTTACTTTATATAAAAAACATCGCTTAATTTTATAAAAAAATTATAAAAGAGCGATGTTTCGAAAATATTTGTTCTAATGTAATTTATTTAGTTTTAAGTTTTTTCGCGTTTAAAGATATTTTATTTGCCTTTTTTTTTTTTTGTAATTGTCTCTCATCGGTCAAATTAATCTTTGTCGCTTTTTTTTTTTTGCTTTTTAAAATGTTCTCAAAACGACTAAAAAATCTGGCCAGCTTTTCGCAACTAAATATTATTTACGTGGTCAGCAATCGAGAGCGATCGCTCCCGCTTCACGACCAAGCCTGTGCATTACAGCTGCAACACTGTGAATAATACTCATTGGCTTGCCAAAACAAATCGCTAATATCTTTTTTTTCAACATTAAAAAAATGCTTAAACAAATATACATTACAACATATATAGCTATAACTGTATAAACATACCTTGCGCCAGTTTTCAGTGTCATAGTACTTTTTTTTTTCTAAAATCTTATATTATAATGTTGAAATTTAGTTAACTAAAATAAAAACTCTTTTTATTTTATATATATATATATATATACATATATATACATATATATATATATATATATATATATATATATATATATATATATATATATATATATATATATATATATATATATATATATATATATATATCATATATATATATATATATATATATATATATATAAATATATAAATATATATATATATATATATATATATATATATATATATATATATATATATATATATATATATATATATATATATATATATATATATATATATATATGTATATATATATATATATATATATATATATATATATATATATATATATATATATACATATGTGTGTGTGTGTGTGTGTGTGTGTGTGTTTAAATATATATATATATATATACATATATATATATATATATATATATATATATATATATATATATATATATATATATATATATATATATATATATATATATTTATTTATTTTTTTATTTTTTTTTAACATCTTTGCTTCCAACAAGGCTGCAAGCAACCACTAATTAGTGTTGGAAGTTACTGGAAGAGAAAAGATGAAGATTGTAGAGCAAGATAATGATTGACAGACGACTTCAAAGATTGCAAATTATATGAATCAGGAAAGCAAGATGAAGGAAGCGATTCCAAAGAACTGATGTTTGAGGAAAAAAACTAGACAACTAAGAGTTTTTGGAGCACTTAGGAACAGTAACAGAAAAAGGATGAGACTTAATTGAATGACGAGTAACACGAGAATGAATTTTAGTAGATGGCACAAGAGACGCTAGCTCTTTAGAGCAGTGCCCATTATAGTATTTGTAGAAAAGAGAAAAAGAAGCAACATTACGACGATGTGACAGAAGTTGAAGGTTGGCTGCAAGAGCAGGTCCAACTATGTTTACAATGCGTTTTTGCACCTTGTCTAAAAGAGAAAGAGCATCATTAGAAGATCCACCCCAGATATAATAACAGTATTCCATACAAGGCCGGATTTGAGATTTATAGAAATAGACTATAGAATCCAGAGTAAGAAAGTGACAAGCTCAATAAAGAGAAGCGACTTTAGCAGATGCTAATTTTACAACGGATTTGATATAAGGTTTCCAAGAAAGACCAGAAGTAAGAGTTAATCCTAGAAGATGAAGGGTAGGAGACTCATCAAGTACATTACCGTTCATAAATATAGGAAGGTCTAAATTATTGCGATAACGATTGGCTGAAAAAAATTGAGTTTTATCTGAATTAAAGTTCACTAGCCACTGTGAGCCCCATGCTGTAGCAGAAGTGAGATCCTTTTCAAGCTCAGATGCCCCCTGCAAGCAATCAGAGGGAGTTGGCTTCTTATCGTGACAAGAATAAATGGTTGTATCATCAGCAAACAATGCCACCTTAGATGTGAGAATCTGGAAGATCGTTAATGTAAATTAAAAAGAGTATAGGGCCAAGGATTGAACCTTGAGGAACCCCTGAGGTTACAGGATAAGAAGAAGAGTGCTGTCCATCAAGGACAACTCCTTTATACTACGATTGGAAAGGAAAATTCAATGATCTTAAAGATGTTTCCAGATACACTGTAAGAAGAAAGCTTATGGAGAAGACCAGCATGCCACCAGCTTATGGAGAAGACCAGCATATATATATATATATATATATATATATATATATATATATATATATATATATATATATATATATATATATATATATATATACATATATATATATATATATATATATATATATATATATATATATATATATATATATATATATATATATATATATATATATATATATATTATAATAATAACAATTGCAATAATAATAATAATAATAATAACAATAATAACAACAATAATAATATATAATTATAAATTTGATATCATCTTTTTAAAATAAATTTTTGTCTGTTGAAAACTGAGCCTGCCTATAACAACATTTTAATAAGTGAAAAACAATCAATAAATTCAAAACATCAATATTAACAAAGAAAATTTATTAAATAAAAACTAAAACAAAAACAACTAAAATATTTGGAGTAAGTAAAAGTACAATAAGTTGAAGAAATTTGACCATAATAATTTCATTACTATTTTTACATCTCTCATTTTGCTTCATCTAGTAGTAATATTAATACTATTCGCCTTTTCTTTTCTGGATTTTGACCTTTGATGATATCTTTAATTAAATTAGTATGCAACTTTACTTTACAAAATAAAAGAGAGAATATAGATAACTCATGTCTAATGTGTACACAAGTATAATAATGTACAGCACTATTTATTTACTTGCAAAGGTGTAATATAACTTAACAATAACAAATACAAAATAATAATAAAAAAAATATAACATAATTAAACATAATAACATTGATCTAGATCAGAAAAAAGCAGAAAAATCTCTGCTTAAAATTATTTATGGCATAAAAATAAACTTTCCTTGCTACTTACCTTATTTACTGGCTATATTTATATTATTGATAAAGTAAAGACAATTAGAATCTTTAAAAGTTATTACTAATGATATTACTATTATAACGATGTAATTACTTATGAAGGTTACAAGTGTCTTTAATTTTTTAGTACTGGTAATTTTAAGCAGTGATACCTTTTTTTTCTAGATTAGATTTATCAACCTTTTATAAAAAAAATTGATAGATTTATTAAATTTTGATGGATACAAAAAGTATTTTTCAAACATTATTAAAAGACGAATAAAAAATTTTTTAACTTCTACAGTTAAAACAATCAAAACAATACTACTTAAAAAAATAATAAGCAAATCAACGATCAGACTTATTCAGAGCAAAACATTTAATAAACGCAAGTTTATTAAATGCTTAGCGTTTATTCTTTTTATTTTAGTAAAGAAATATCACGAAGATATTTACTAGTAAAGATTTAAATAAGAATAACATTGAAATTTTTTGAATATATAGAAACAGACTGTCGCTAATACAACTTTTTTTTTTTTTTTTTGTATCTAGGGACTCGTTTTTGTTTTGAAAGTTCAGGGGGCGTTATTTTAAAATTTTTCGTAAAGAGTAAATAATGCCCCCTGAACTTAAACTTAACCATGTCGACAGGCCTGTTTTATTTAAAATGTTTTATTTAAATTTGATGATTCTTAATAAACACTGCAATGAGCATTTTTTGCATTAATACAATACTTCTAAAATTTAGTAAACTAACTAAAAATAATGGTTTAATTCGCAAACTTTTCTAGCCATTTTTTTATATTTTCCGTAACTATGTCCGACCCCAGTCAAAAATACGGATTCGCCTGTAATAAGTATTGCCAAGCGTAAAACGTAAAATAAAGCCCCCTGAACTAAAACTTCCTATATACGAAACGAAATTTATTTATTTTTTAAACATTTTATTTTATATTTTTTTGTTCGTTTTTACAATGTAGATAAAAATTAGTACAATTTATAAAGTTAGCAAATACTACTAACATTGTTTAATGGTTCTGAGGCCGGCTAGTAGAAAGATTTCATGAAATCTGTTTTGTTTCTAGTTCTCAGAGAGGCTGTTTTCATCAACAGCTAGAAAAATATCAGAGTATTAACAGGACGATGTTGCGCATGGATGGTGTCCCTGGTAAAGCTTTTGGTCCGCATAGTCGAGGCCACATAAGGAGCCTTATTGCGACATGAGAATTATCTTGTTCTATCTCCACTTTCTAAAAAAATTGAGTTAATGATAGTGTTGTGTTCCTCAAAATAATGTCTTTCTACTGAATTGAAATCTAAGTAATAAGTAAAAAAGTTGCGAAAAAAACATAAGTTATAAAAAAAGAATTTATACGTCGCCTCCTAAAGTTTTTGTTTTTTAAATCGTTTCATCTCAAAACTAAAACATGTGGAGATAGAACAAGACAATTCTAACGTCGCGTTATGTTACGACTTAGAGTTACTTAACAGGACTGAGAAAATTACATAGCTCATTGCTTAGGCGGCTGTGCTCTATCTATAAATGAGTCAAGTTTTCTTTAATTTCAAACATGCTAAAAGTAACCCAAAATATTAAACATAAAAAAACATCTTCACCACCTAACTGTTTGAATATATCTTTTACTAACATTCATGGTCTGCAAAGTAACCTTCGATCAGTTGAATTTTACTTCTTGCAAAATTTACACGACTTACTCGCCCTTAGTGAGACTGATTTAAATTCTACTATTCCTTTTTCTGATCTCAGTGTTGATGGGTACTATTTTTTGAATCGCAAAGACTCCAACAGTCGCATGCTTGGCTTGGGAATATTAGGGACTTTCACAGCGCGCGGTTTTAATGTATGACTTTTTTATAAGGGATAAATGAACGAAATGGCGGCTTTGTTTAGTTAATTATAAAAGGTTTTTTGTTGTTTTAGATTTTGTAAATGACTTTGATAGTCAAAATTTGGGTGTTTTTTGTTGAAATAACTATTTTTACAAAGATATTAACAATGTAAAGTGGTTTTGTACTTCATATTTATGTTACAATAACATTGGTACAAAAAAAAGGAGATGGGAATAAAATAAAGAATTATTGAATAATACTTTGTTTTAGTTCAATCTTAATAACTTCCATAAATTTGTCGAACGGATTAATTTTATGAAGATTGGAGTTTAGATATAGGTAACATCTATAATCTATAATCTATATCAGTAATACAGTATTTTATTCATAAAAGTTTATGCAAATAATGAAAAAATTGAATTCAAACAGATTAATTTAATCTGTTATTAATTATTATTAGTTAATTCTTTAATCATTCACGAACCAAAACCTTCCGATAGATATAAATAGAATTAATATACAATAAAACTAGATATTGCTAACAACCCAAATCTTCAAGAAATTCCTCCTCCTATTTTCTACTATCCTAAAGGTTTCTTAAAGAATAATTTGAAAATATCTTATCTTTATATAATAGAAAAAATAATGACAAAATAATTTAGTTTTGTTATTTTTTTCATTATAAAAAAATAAACCATTAAATAAAAGACTAGA